AAGGCGACCATTTGTAACAGGCGACAATGCGTAACGAGCAAAAATTCGTGACAGTAGATTAAACGGGGAACACTGATTCACGCGCAATTTTCCTCTTGTGCCGGAGGTAAGCGCAGCGGAGCGAAGCGCAGCCAGCGTATTCTACTTGCGAATGCCTTGTTACGAATAGTTGCCTGTTTTGAATTGTCACCCTACCGGCAAAACTAAAAAAAAACAAGTCAAAAAGGAGTTTTTAGATACTTTTCGGAAAATTTTGACCAAAAATTGCGTTTTTTTTGGTGCCCGCTCCCCCATTAAAAATAGTATCTATTGGAGCCGAAAACGGCTTTAGTAAAATTTTATTCAAAAATCTATATCTCAAAATAGTACAAAAGGGGACCCTTTGGATTGACAGGGGGTCCAAGTCCCGAAGAGAAGGGAGCATACGCCCCCCGCCCCCTCACTAAATCCGCCCTGACTCTACAAAAACTGACACATTTATATTAAGAATTTTCAGTATTTTCAAAACTGAGATATATTTTTTTCATTTTTAGTAAGGCATCTGAGCAATCTAAATTAGCGACAAGCACTGGTTTACATAAAATTGAAGTCAAAATTAGCAGAAAACGAATTTCAAGGGTAAAACCATGTTTTTCTATACAGAATGACTTTTTTTTTTAAAATTCTTTAAGTCTTAGATGTTGCAAACTTAGTGAGTTGTCCATCAGTTTGTCTCTATGTCTGAAGGGACTCCACGGGTAAAATTCCTGCGTTCTCAAGGCATTCCAATTTGAGCCACATAGTTGAAAAGTAGTTCACATATAGAAAATGTTGACAGCTCAGTCACTTTAGAAACATGTGTTGTCAAAAAGATTGACTATTCTCAGCCATTTTTTCGACATTTCATTTTATAAAAAGAAGACGGATTATTCACACAACAGTTACATCAGACAAACTTAAAAAAAAACTTTAGACTGGTCTATAAATTAGAAAAACCAAACATAATTGAACGTAATTGTTTAAAAAGGCAATGAACAGGTTCAGAAAAGCATCAAAAAAGATCTTGCAAAGGAAACAACTAAGTGATAGTTTTACGATTTTATCCTAAAAAGACACTTTAGAATGACAATCTGATACAAAACTTCCCAAAAAAAATATGGCGCGTGGGTAAAATTTAAACACTAAACTGGGTCACTTTGCTTGCAAGGCTGTTTTGAAACGAAAAAAAAAAACGAGAAACTTAATGACTCTACAGGGGCGGATCTGGGATGTTCTCAAGGTGGGCGGGGTTGGATTTTCAAAAAAAATCAAAAACTGTCGATTTTTTTATAGGTAGACCAAATTGATTTTCTAAGCTCTACCCAAGTGTTAAAAAGACCCTGTTTTGGCCAAAATTTCTGCACCGCAGGCAAAAATCGTGAGGCGATAATTCGTAACAAGCGACAATTCGTAACAAGGGACAAATTGTAAAAGGCGACAATTCGTCACAGGCGACACTTCGTAACGAGCCACAATTCGTAATAGTAGATTAAACGGGGAAAACTGATTCACGCGCAATTATCCTCTCGTGCCGGATGTAAGCGCAGTGGAGCGAAGCGCAGCCAGCGTATTCTACTTGCGAATGCCTTGTGACGAATAGTTGCCTGTTTTGAATTGTCGCCCTGCCGGCAAAACTAAAAAAAAAACAGGTCAAAAAGGAGTTTTTAGATACTTTTTGGAAAATTTTGACCAAAAATTGCGTTTTTTTTCGGGGCCCGCTCCACCATTAAAAATAGTATCTATTGGAGTCGAAACGGCTTTAGTAAAGTTTTAATCAAAAATCTATATCTCAGAATAGTACAAAAGGGGACCCTTTGGATTGACAGGGGGTCCAATTCCCGAAGAGAAGGGAGCATACGCCCCCCGCCCCCTCACTAAATCCGCCCTGACTCTACAAAAACTGACACATTTATATTAAGAATTTTCAGTATTTTCAAAACTGAGATATATTTTTTTCATTTTTAGTAAGGCATCTGAAGCAATCTAAATTAGCGACAAGCACTGGTTCACAAAAAATTGAAGTCAAAATTATCAGAAAACGAATGTTAAGAGTAAAACCAAGTTTTTCTGTACAGTTCATGGGGATAGTGAATGATTTTTTTTAGTTTTTTTTTTAAATTTTTTTTAAGTCTTAGATGTTGCAAAACTTAGTGAGTTGTCCGTCAGTTTGTCTCTCCGTCTGAAGGGACTCCACCGGCTAAAATGTCTGCGTTCTCAAGGCATTCCAATTTGAGCCACATAGTTGGAAAGTAGTTCACATATAGAAAATATTGACAGCTCAGTCACTCTAGCAACATGTGTTGTCAAAATGATTGACTTCTCTTAGCCATTTTTTCGACGTTTCATTTTATAAAAAGAAGACGGATTATTCACACAACGGTTACATCAGACTAACTTAAAATATTTTTTTAGACTGGTCTTTAAATTAGAAAAACCAAACATAATCGAACGTAATTGTTTAAAAAGGCAACAAACAAGTTCAGAAAAGCACCAAAAAAAATCTTGCAAAGGAAACAAATAAATGATTGTTTTACAATTTTATCCTAAAAAGACACTTTAGAATGACAATCTGATACAAAATTACCTAAAAAAATTTGGCGCGTGGGTAAAATTAAAGCACTAAACTGGGTCACTTTGCTTGCAAAGTTGTTTTGAAACGAAAAAAAAAAACGAGAAACTTAATGACTCTACAGGGGCGGATCTGGGATGTTCTCAAGGTGGGCGGGGTTGGATTTTCAAAAAAAAAAATCGAAAACTGTGTCGATTTTTTTAAAGGTAGACCAAATTGATTTTCCAAGCTCTCCCCAAGTATTAAAAAGACCCTGTTTTGGCCAAAATTTCTGCGCTGCAGGCAAAAATTGTGAGGCGATAATTCGTAACAAGCGACAATTCGTAACAAGCGACCATTCATAAAAGGCGACCATTTGTAACAGGCGACAATGCGTAACGAGCAAAAATTCGTGACAGTAGATTAAACGGGGAACACTGATTCACGCGCAATTTTCCTCTTGTGCCGGAGGTAAGCGCAGCAACGGGGAACACTGAATTGGAAATATAGAGCACTTACTGAGTAAAACTCTAAGATATTCCCCAACAAACATTGAAAATAGATTAAATATGGGCAAACATTCGCTGAATACTGCCAAAAACACTTTTTTCAAATTATAGCTACAATTTCTACTTATAGTTTTTAAATCACGAATAAACCTACAAAAACTATTGTATCATACTGTCGTTTGACATCCGTGTTCCTATCCTGATGAGGAAAACATACTTCAGCCCTCTCCGATTTAAGAAACTGCTTATTATAGAGCCTGGTAGAAGCTAATAAATACTAAAAAACCAACATTACGAGGCCAAACTGTGAACTGGATAGGCGCACAATTTTGTGTCTGTGTGTTCCTGGATTCCAGAGACAAATCTGTAAAAAAGTTCCAAAATGTCAGTAGATTCAGCGTGGACTCAGCATACAAATACCTGTAAGACAAAATTTGTCGGCACGTTTGTTTTGTTACCAATTCCGTAACAAGCGATTATAGCTAGCTGCTTCATGTTCCGCAAAATGAAAGTGGAATCTAGAGTTGTAGGCGGATTCTGCACATTGTGAGTGGATTCCGCAATTTGGTTGATTTCTGAACTTTCATACTAACAATTAACAGCTAGAGCTGGAATTATTATCTCTAGCAAGGCAAAATCGAAAGGCAAGGAACAAATCATTGTCAGCGAATTCCACGAACAAATCTAGAAAGAAGTTATCTAAATTTGTGGGTGTCAACCCTTAGTTCCGATCACTCGAAAACTGTTGAGGACATTTCTTCAATATTTTTGGATTTGCTGGAAATAGTTTGAGATTGAAATTGCGGGGCGAACACCTGGTAAATACAAGATATAGCCTTAAACGCTGCTACATATGTAACTGGAACGTGCAAACAAAATGCGGACTCCACTAACCATTTGGGGATTCCTCTTACAATTTACGGATTCTGCCTACAGTTGCGTATTCCGCAATATCTCAAATTTACTATACAATGTTTTATCATTTCTTGGTGGATTCCACAAAAATTGTTCCGGATTCCAAAATTTTGCCTAATTTTGATCAATTTTGAGCGGTACAGTGTTATAGCTATTAGTTTGTGAGAATCCAAAACAGCGAAAAATATATCAAAGAAAAGTAGCAATGTTGAGGATTTCCCGACAAATATGATTTTGGCTTGTTGCGGAATGCGCATAATGCACAGCTTGGCGTCGTAATGAAAAACAGTTAAAAGTGCGTCCGTTTTAATTTTTTCAAATCTGAAATTTATATCTCTGATGGATTTTTTTTAGACCTAAATTATTTATGATAAACAAAAGTTAAGATTTGAAATAAGATCTGAATTTTCCGGTTTTAATTATTTCAAATTGAAAAAAAAGAGAAACATTTACAAGACATGGGAAGTTTTTCATGTCAATTCCTACTTCCGTACATAATCGAGATCTACTACAAGAATATTGCGTTTTTGTTTTCAAAATATGATAAATTTGCCTGAATAATTAAGTGGGACACAGTCAACAGGGTTAGTTTCGATAAAAGAAGACGCCAAAAACGTGGATATGATGAGCATATCGTGTGCATTTTTGTGTAACTCTGATTTGATATCAAGTCGATTTAACTAAAAAACTGATTTTACGGGCTGACAAAAAGTTTTAACATAGTTTTCAGTCTTCAAAATAAAAATTTTAACAGATCTGCTGATGTTTTTCGAGCCATTATTTTGTACTAAAAACTCTTTTTTGCCAAAAGAACAATTTTTCGAGTTCTCAATTTAATATGCAATTATGCTCACAGTAACATAAGGCTTTTTATCTTTCTTGTTTTAATTGGCGGATTTTGGAACAGGTCCAGCCATGAAACGTGACTGAAGCAGTTTTGAATCGATGAAAAAGTATATAAATTATAACAAAGCTCATCGACCAAACATGCGTTTTTATGATTCAACTATTAACTTGTACGCCATTTTTGTAGCCAGAACAACAGATCACGCAAGTTGAAGCGAGAGCAAAGTCGAGCTACGTGGCTCTCAATTTTCAACAAACTCAAACAATTGAAGAAAAACTGTACAAAATACTTCTAGAATATTTCACAAATTCTTGCCATTCAACCAAACAGAGTTTTCTTCCACGGTAAGTTCATCATAAATATACACACTGATAAATGATCTTTTACTAAATGATCTTTTACTAAATGATATTTTAATAAATGATCTAAATCAACTTTTTTGACAATAGGAGGCAAAGTTTTTGATTGTTTTAGAAAATTCTCGGACTTGAATTGAGTGAAGTTGAGCAATAAGCTGATTTTTTTTTAAGTTGAACACCGACTTTCAGGTTTCTGACCTTTACTTTGACCAGAGTTATTTATATTGGGTCTTAGTGCATTTGAATTTAATTGAGCGGTAACTTCTTAACTTGCTGCTTTTTTCGCTCATCTTAACCTGAAATGATTAAAAGTTTTCTGAATACTTATTCAGTTAAATTATAGCATTCCGTTCTTAAATATCCAGTTGAGAAATCCAATCTTGCTAACAACTTTTCCCCATAATCAGGGGCGGATCAAGGATTATCTCAAAGTGAGGGGGCGGATTCTCAAAAAAATCGATAAATTTTACCAGACGTTGATATAGGGGGAGTGGTGGGGCACCTTCTGTTCACTTCAAGGATTCGACGCCCTCATCACTCAAAGACTCCTTTTGGTATTATTTTACGTTATACAGTTTTGGCCGACCTAGTTTTGGCCCTCCTAGCTTTGGCCGACCTAGTTTTGGCCCTCCTAGACTGCCGTCTTAAGAGTAAAATCAGACTGAGTATGCCACTTGACACGCTTATTCAAAAACGGAACATTTTCTTGATGACAACGAGACCAAATAGTATTGGCGTGAGACTGCACTCACACGTACCTTTTGTTGTGGTCGAAGTATTCCTCAGGTCAAAGCGAAGGAAAGCTTGCGGCTTGTTGCCTGAGCAAAAAACGATTTGGGGTTAACGCTTCTAACGGGCGTGATTTGGTACTAACGGGAGTGATTGGCATCTAATTCAAAGCCTGATCAACTAAGCAGAGTGTTGTTTATAGCACCTCTTCAGTAACCGCCCACTGCCTATTATATCGTAGTTTACGCTATTTACGCTTAGAACTAGGCGTCCTAAGGAACCGCCATGAGAAGGTAAGCCTTTCGGGTTCAAATTCCATGCAACACCTGCTAACTGGGACGTAAAGCAGTCCAAAGTATACCACGCCCGTTTGATTGAAACGTGGTTTCTTACATCCAAGACGTTGTTGGGGTAAATTGGACATTAGTGGCTGAATGGTACTCGCTTTGCGTTTAAGACAATTTACACATTGATTTTCCATAGACCAGCGAAGTCGACGCAACCCAATTATTGCAAATTTTATGTTTAAAACGGGGCGCATGTAATTTAAAGTTTGATGAAACTGTTTATCGTGAAGGTTTCGGGCCAGCAAGCAAACTAGGGTATGACGGGCATCGAGTAACATTGGTGCTTAGTATCACACTCAGTGTCTACTAAGCCCGCGAAAATTCCGGCCGAAGGAGCGAACGTTACCAGTCAGACAGGATGATACAGAAAATGAGAGTATGTGGCAATCTTACTTGTTCCTTATAGCTTTACCAGAGGTGACGAAGCAATAATCGACATCACAAAAAAAGACATTTTAACAAGTTAAATTGATCGGGTAGAAATTGCTAATCAACAGTTCTAAGAAAGCTCGGAACAATCCCGCTGCTATTGTTTGTTGAGGGCTTCTGATCGAAATCCTGGCTGACCGAAATCAGCTGGATTATCGCCGCTCAAACTATACTGGCAATCATCAAGAGTGTTGATACGGTTACCGACGATCATGGGTCATTTACCATTGGAGTTTAGCCCTTGCAAAATCTTAGTACTGTCCGTCCACATATAGTCAAAATTTCTTCTAGCTGCAAAGGCTTGCAGTATATCAAATTTCAACCGTAACCGTGGGGCGAGCTGAGCAGCTTGAAGCTCTAGTTTAGGTATAGATAGCGTTTTTCACAAAAATTGAAGGTCGTTTGTATCTTTCGCTAATTTGTTAGTCAAGCACGCAAAAAAAACAGCGCGGAAAACGTCCCGCGAGCTTTCACCGAGCATGTTAAGCTCAATTTGATTAACAATTTCTGTGAAGTAACTACAGGGAAGAAACAGTCGTTCTAAGGAGGGTAGACCGGAGTATTTCTAAGTTCAACCGGCAATTCGACGTCCCAATTTCGGAAACTAATTTTAAAAAAAATTTTAGTCACAAGAAGGGACCTAACGTTTTGTGTGGTTGCTAATCCAAACGCATCAAACACAGAAGAGACGAATTTCAGGACGGTTTGTTGAGTTGTTGTTTTGATAAGAGACTAATCTACAGCTCAGCTGACAAACAATGTGTCTTTATTATGTTCACACTTAAAACCTGGAATAAGCGAGTTTTGTTCCGCACTGTTTTCACTTTTTTGACGAAAGAACAAGGGGTTTTGTAAACCTCGGGCTTCATTGCTAAAGTTATTTCAATAGCATTGCTGAGAAAATTTGTCGAATAAAATTCCCCAACTTAGGAAACTTAACCAAAACACTTGCTAATTTTAAAGGCTGGGTTGAAGTGTTGAAGCGAATTGTCAAGTAAAAATTTTCTTTTACCACAGACGCGGCCTCAAGGTATGCGGGCATAATAACGTTTGCTGTTGCGAAGACCGTGCGCCGAATTTATGGGGAGTGTACTGGTGAACTACTACACCTTATGTGTTATCCTTCCGCCTCAAAAACAGAACAATACTTTTTTGTAGACTGACCTTAACATCAAACCAAAGCAAAGGTAAGTTGCTTCTCCCGCCATTGTGAACCGTTTCAGAATTAAGGATGGATAAAGGATGTGTATTCCCGTTGCAACGGGTATCATCTTGCTTAAGAGTTCCATTTGACTCCAACTCGTACCAGGATATTATAAGGTCAGTTCAAAAATACTCAACAAAACACTTACAGCTTGAAGAAGTAGAATCGGCGGACCACTTAGCACCCAACCTATCGGTAGGCGGATGGAACATGGTGAGTTATTATTCTCTTAAAAGATGATATCAATGGGTCTAACGGCGTGGTAGTAGTCTTGTCCTATGATAACTCCAACCTTCTCAGAGTTATTTGGACCGGGTTGACCGCACAGAGTGAACACGAAACCAATTTTGATTGGCTCGGGGAAAACAGTAAATTTGACCCTCGGAGTCTCAACAATTGTGGTCAAAATGAACCCGTTTATTGCCAAATTAAAAAAGTAGCCTGAAAAGCTGAGACGCTTAACGAATGACGAAGACACCCAAAAGACTGGTTACATCCGAGGATAAACCAAGTATTGCAACCGGTAATGAATTCAATGGTGGAAGTGTCTACAATCCCCATGGGCCGATTTGCTCCGGCATTGTTCATATCGTTCGAATTGTCCTTCCGAGGAACTACTTTGTCATCTCTATGGAGCAAGACCTCAGCACAGCTATCACATTGTTTTGCTCACAGAGTAGCCTTTTTTCTTCAAAAACAGCACAATTCAATAGTGCATGACTACCTTTTCAAAAGCACACGGTTAAGTCCGATGATTATTTGTGTTACCTCACTTTGCGTGAAAAAAAACTAAAACACCAAAATAAAAAACTTCTCAATTTTCAATGGTCGGAACAAAAATATACACTATGAACAAACCTAACAGAATCCAAAAAAACTGGAAAGATAAAAAAAAGGTTTCTATCAGTCAATTGTCTGGCTGATTCTGTTTTATCAATTTTTTTAAATAATTTTATCAGAAAATACTAAATTTGTGGGACACAAATTCTAGACACACAAGATAAACTTTTAAGCTGTTTTTTTGGATAGCCATTTCAGAATTTTTTGTACAATTTTGAAAGAAGACGTTCAATTTTGTTGGAATCTTGATAGATATGAGAAATTTTCTAAAAAGTTGTTAATTGTTTTCTGAAGTTTTTGTTGGATGTTCAACCCGAGTTTAATCCACGTTTTTGGTAGTGCAGCAAAACGAAATTATGATTTTAGATGTTAGCAAAGAGATCCCTTAAGATACTGGTCATCCTGCATCAAGCCGACAAAGATTGAGGTCGAATGGCCAATAAAAAGTTTAATGGGCCGGAAAAAAAATTATATCTTTTAATATTTTTTTTTAAAAAATGATCGCGCATGGGTTCAAAAAACAAAAGTTTTTGAGATTTCAACTTTTTTTTTAATAGCTTCTATAGACTGCTTAAAAAAACTAATATATAACAATTTCACAGAATAATTTCGTTTTTAACAAACTGAAAAAACTCCTTGTAAAATTTTTGTGGTAATTAACTGTAGTAAAATTTTGCAAGGGGGTTACAAATTTAGACGACAAGCACATAGACGTCTACAATAAAACAAAATTTAGACGGTAGTTTTATTTTGGAAAACAAAAAATTTTGCCTCAAGCAAACTTTCAGAAGTACAACAAAACTGCTCGTATCAAGACAAAGCCCTGATTGTTCTGACTGCCTTTTATTGTATATGGAGCAGTAATAACCTGAAAAAATTGGAAAAAAATGTTCATTAAAATAAAATGAAATATTTTTTAAATATCGAGAACTTGTGAAAATCATCCCCCCACACGCCATATAAAGTTTTAAGTGATGATTTTTGCTCCTAGTAACAATTTAATTATGGCAAATAAGCTTCCTTCGACCACTTTGAAACTATTTCTAAGACGGACTAAATCTCCGCATGCGTGTTAATAGCGCGAAATATATCGCATTTAAAAACGCTCGATTGAAAGTTATAATTGTAGTCATCGAAAGTTAGTTGTAGTCAGTAAAAAATTGCACACACGCAGACAAATCACTTATGTCTAATTTCCCATATTTGTAGTTTTGAATCGACGTCTTATTTTAATCTTTTGGTCACCTCTAATTTGCTTTTCGTCTAATATACTAGGGCCCTTTCAAAACTATGTTCAGAGTTTGCTTTGAATCACGTTCAAACTTTGCACGAGACTGTGAGAAAGCTTTTGCCACTCTGTTTGGATTTTGTTTATGACTATCTTCAGACTTCCTTTTCGTGACTGTGTTAAGACTTTGTGATGAAGACTTCAACTTTCATCCGCGTTGGGCCTGTGTGATTTTTTTTAGCCCGATCTGGACCAAAATCTTTTAATTGTAAATATAGACCGAAGTTCCTCTAGCTTGAAGTCTCGTCAGCTTGTTGTCTTAGACCCGGGCATAATAGCGTTTAGCTGCACAGCTCTTTTAATTTAATATTTTAGCGAAGTCTGCTCTAGTTGGTCAAATTTATGCACTCGTTGAAAAACTAGCATTCGCTGGGATTGCTTTCGCTTAATTAGATATTTGTTGAATCTTAAAGTGGTGCATTTGACAACTAGAGCCTGCCCACTTTGAGCTTGCATCAATCTATTAGATTAAGTGATCTTTGAAGTTCTCATATATTTGGTACATATATATGTCATAATTACCATGTACGAGGAGGCATGCATATTTTGATTTGGTTTTTCTGGTGTTTTAAAATGCGCTGAAAGAAAATTAACGAGGCTGTGAAATCGCCACAACATGCATTAAAACACGAACTCTGGTAACTGTCTTATCATTGAAGTAGTTTAGTTCGAGAAACAACTCAAGCGGTTTGAGTCAATATCTTACCGGTAAATTAAGTAGATGAGCTGACAATGAACCATATTCTAATAGTTTCAAATGCGAAATTACATGGACAGACATCTTTTATATTTTACACCAGGTAATGTTGCCATCTCTTTAGTCATAGTATGGTGTCACATTATTTTGCAATAACTCCGAATTAGATATTCTCTTGCCAGAATTTTATGTCTATATTTATTTTTGCAATGCATTTCATTTAGTTGCTCTATTTTTATCAATTCTGTTTTCATTGAGTCGGAGTGTGCAATATTTTGCTGGATAATTGTTCGTATAAAAAGGTATGAAAAAGGACGCATCATCAAAATTTTTCGAACTAGGCAGCTAATAGGCGTCTGTTAATGATTTAAAACATCTTTTTGTTGACCCCTAACTCATTAAATGTATCTACCCGAAACTCCATAATATATTGGAAGTGGAAAAAAATCGTACTTCTGAATGGATTTAAAAAGTTACTAAGAGTTTCATTTCATATTTTTGAAGATAAGTTTCAAAACGGTTCAAAATGCCCGTCGAAAGAGTATGTTGTTTTGTCTCAGAAATGACCTTCAACCCAATCGGAGGTCGGCCCAGGAACCCAGCCGCACCCTATTTTCCCCACGTCACACAAAACCCAAATGTTACCGTTGATCACGCGGCAGCAGCCACTCAGGAATGCCGAGACTTGGCACATGCGCTTCAAACTCTAGGCGTGCGAAATCCGACAGCCGAGCAACTGACAATGAAAAACCTCATAAGACAAGACTACCATTACGCAAGCCAGTACGAGCCCAGCACGATGAGTCGCCAAGTTGGGAGTGGTCTATCGCCCTCGGGAATCAATCGTGCCATGGCTCAGTCGACAGCATCGTCCCCCACAGTCAATCTGTTTTTGGCGGGGTTGACACAAAGTGGAAGACAATCGACTGGAAGCACCTCGTCCTCAGCCACCGAGTCGTAAGTGAACAGGAATTTTTTCAGTTTTCCTTGTTTAAAGAACTGGACCGGGAAAAATGATCAATATGCAGCGTATTTAGAATTTGAACTTTTTGAACCTCAATTGTGATTGTAAATTTTCTTTTTTTTTCTATTACGAAAATAGTTTTTGACGATCCTACGTATGATTTAAAAAACAGGATCCCACGCTAAAGCATTTCTAAAATCTATAGACCAGGAAATGTTTCTAGCACCTACTTATTTTCAATTCACTTTCGACTAAAAATTAGCAAAAACAGAAATTTCTCAGTGTTCATTTTTATTTTAGCTCGGAGATTTATGGAAATCATTCTATACCTGTAATCAAGCATGACTCCCCTGCAGCACGGTCCAACGAGCGTCAAATTCTAGCGAGGAGACAACCTTTACTACTTGCCCCCAACAGTGCACCCTCCCCCCGATCATCCAGCCTGTTCGTGGCACCTTCGCCCGAGGTGTTCTCGGACTTTTCTTCATCTTTGATGCAGACACAATCAGCAGCTGCAGACATGTATGACGTCATACGCAGGTTTTTGGTTGATCTCGATAAAGTTGTGGGATCTCTTCAATTACCCCCACCCCTTATGGCAAAGTATAAAAATTATTTTTTAATAAGTAGAAAAAGAAGAAAAAAAAACTTCAGTTACTGTTTAAAAAACAGAAGAAATGAATGAAATATAAACTACTGCTTCTAAATATCGAGCAAAAACACAAAATATAATCAACACTTTGTTATTAATCGAAGTCCTGGTATAAATCGAAGAGTGTTCGGATTGCCCTTTAACAACGTGACGAAAAAAATTTGATCAGACAAATTGATAAAAAGGATTTTAAAAAATTTGCCAATGAACGTTGTGAAGACTTATATATATAATGCACTGATTTTTTTGTTTGTTTTGTTTTATCAGGAAAAATCTTAAAATTTGTTCACGCTAGATTTTGATTTTTTTCCGGTTTGAGTTTTCATTCATTTTTAAGTTCGCCTAAATTCCTTTGTTAAAAGGAAGGCAAACTCCACTTGAACAGCAAAAGTGTAAAAGCCACAAAAAACGTGATAGAAGACTTCACAAAAGACTTCTAGTTTCGAAAGACAATTTCAAGTTTCAGATTTCCACGGAATAAGAAACTTATCTATCGGACCAATTTTCTGAAAGGCCAAAAATTTTTTTGTTGAAATTCGAAATTTGATTGTTTTTCAAGAAACAAATCGATGTGGTTTTCTGTTTCTTTGCGTTCATTGACTTTTTTCAGCTCTATGTTGGCTTTGTTTTCTGATTTTTCCCATATATTTTTTCATTTGTATAAAAATAGGCTATACAAAATGATATTTAGACCGTAATATTGACACCAAAATTGCTTGGCTCAATTCCAATCAGACTGATGTCAGTTGCTGCTTACGCTTTGCAAAAACGCACTACAATCGCTTTATTTATTCCAAATTGGCTTAATTAAGAGTCTATGAACATAGTTCTGACCCTTATATAGGTCGCGAATTTTTTTTTCAAGAAAAATCTTAAAATTTATTCAGGCTCAAATCTGCTCCTTCGCGATTGACGTTTGATTTCTCTTGAGTTTAGTTCATTTACTTTGTTAAGAAGAAAACAAACTACACCATGGAACAGCAAAAGGTAAAAGTCACGAAAAACGTGATCAAATTATAGTTTTTAAAGCGGAATTTACTTTTAATATTTTCAAGCAAAAGAAAAATTATACTTATACAGTTTTTTCAAATTGGGTTAGTTTTACCAGAAATTTACAATCATAAAATTTTTGAGAAATGTTCGAGAAAACTTCAAGAGCATCATTTTTTTCTTTGAATTTTGAATTTTTTTCCAAAAAGTCAGTTCATTGGTTCTTTTCCAACCGTGTTACGGGATTGTTTTGGAATCTTTTAAGCCTCTATAATCTTACGCAAAAAAATCTCGGATGCAGTTTTCTCTACCTTTTTTCTCAGGAAAACAAAATTTTAAAGGTGACAACAAGATGCAAAGGTGGTACAAAATGGAAAGCATTTAAGCATTAAAAAACAGCATACAACTAAAAAGATCAATTTAAAAATACATCAAACTTTCAAAACATCAATTATCTACAAAAGTTTCGGTAATTAAGTAGAAATCAGGCCATGTATTGCTAAAAATTATTTTTTGGAATTGGATTGCATTTAAATCATGCAAGGGTCTTTAAATTATGTTGTTAACAATTCAACTTGATGGTGGGGAGGGGGGAGGTTTTGGGGTTTGGGGTTGATGTTGTCTGCTAGGTAAAATAGGTAGGATAGTTAAAGATTCAATTAGTTTTAATTAGTTCAAAGCTTTTTCATTTGCGTGACAAAAACGAGCTGTGACATACCGTTGTTACAAAAAACCATGACTAATTGATTTATTTGCTTAAGTAATTTTTCACAGGAATCAGATGGTGGAAAAAACACTGAATCATGCGACCGACAATCTCTACATAAGAAGCCAAACACATCAAAACTCTCCGTCTCAATCACCAACTCACACATCAAATCACAACCTACAAATCAGAGCCCGAAACAGAGAGGCTTATCCTGCAGTCTCATACACCGGAAATCACAGGCAACAAAGCGATAATCGTCATAATCATCTTCATCATCAGCAGCAAGGATACTTACTAGGAAGGCAGCTACAACAACAGCAGCATCAATTACAACAACAGATAAAATATTTTCACCAAAAGCAGCAGCAGCAGCAGCAACAACAACAACAACAACAACAACAACAACAGCAGCAAAAAAATCTGCATAATCACCAGTTGAATGATCTCCGAGCTAAAGCTGGCGCAGTGTCTTCGCCCGAAGCTGGTCGAAATTCCAGTGCAGTAAGCGTTATTAAACATTTGCAGGGACATGCTAATCACGCTAGTGCGCCACAGTTGAGACATACGGTCCAAAACGTCCCTGGATCCTCGAACATCCAGGTGGCACCTCCTCCTCTGCTCTCTGCAGCTGGGCATTTCATGTATCCTTCGCGACCTGCTGAGTCAATAGGTACAAAATCATACACAAGCAATGTTCGGAATGTCAGTTATTCAAGCGCTCAACTGTTAAACAGAGAAATGCAAAGAGAGCAACAGCGAATGAGTAATCGAGCATCGGTCATCAAATCGCCGCCTCCCTTGCCTAAGTTGATTCACCGGGACAACATGCTTACGCCTAAACGAGCCAAATTAGACTCGGGAGCGGATGCCAATAGTTTATCTTCAGTCTCTGACAGCCAATCGCCGAGGAGGTCCAGTAGTTCAGAAAGACCCGGATCCCTCGCCAGTATTGGTCAAACTGTCCCGGAAAGACCAAGAAGACCTTCCACGCCCATGGAACCGCTGGACTTATCAATATCAACGCTCAAAGCTACGAGAAACGCCGAAATTTCTCATATTTTATCAAAACCTTCCAATTTAGAAAACTTCCAAACATCTGAACAGAAAAAAATGTCTGATATTGATGACGATGAAGTTTTGTGTCTGGATGACTTGAAACCAGAAGAGTGCCAGAAAGTAAAAAGAGGGCGACCGCCAAAACTGAAGATGCCCGAAGTGCTTCAGAGGGACAAATTATCGCCAAGAAATGATGCCAAACTTGCCAGCATTGACGAAATGATCCGAAATGCGCTCGCGTCCACTGATATTAGGAACCTTATCAATCCGGCTCAGTTTGACAGGCACTATTACGCCAGTAAATTGGAACAAGAAGCCAGAGCTGAAGCACTGGAAAATAAAACGAAAATAACATCAGAAAACTTGGTAACTGACATAACTAATAAACCTGAAAATCAAAGTTCTGCCATTGAAGTTTTTTCTGCTTCTGTTACAAATCAAAGTAACTCTACTGAAACTGGAGAAACTTGCGGCCAAAAGATCTTCAAAGACTTGCACCAGTTTGGGTGGCCAAGATACAAGAAAATTAAGCCAAAAGCAATTAGGCCGACAGTTAATCTTAACATAAACGCCTCAACATTAGCCCAAAACAGCAATGAATATGAACAAGAGCGAGGAAAAGAGTGTGAGGAACCCTCAAGGAGACCGTTTTCGATTATCAAGTTCAAAAGTGACAAAAGCAACGTTACGAAGGCGGTCGATGGTGATTTGGTCATCAAGACGAATAATGATTGCAATGATCAGTTAGCCGAAAACAGTACTGACGCCATCAGTTCGGCTGAAGCCCCGAAGAAGCTGGAAACACTCGGTTTGAGCAGCGATGTCTTGAACTGCCAAAAAGAAAAAGATAGTAAAAATGAGAAAAGAAGAAACGAACAAGAAATGAAGATCGGTGACTTTCTTTTCATCCAGAAAAAGAGTCCAACGTCCACACAGTTCATGTCTTCCGCTTTGGACCAAAGACTGTCCAGTGAAAAAAGCGAACGAATCGATAACAAACAACAGGAGCCTCTGAAGCCACCGGATTGCAAACATAAAGACTACGGAAATGAAGATCAAATGGAAAAGAAAAGAATCAGAGAAGTAACTGATAATTCAAACGTCGAGGGACATGAGGACGATCGTGTTGCTACGAACAAAGAAACGACCATCGAAAAAGTTTCTAAAAAGCATGAAGAGGAACGCAAAAAAGAAAAACCAAATGAAAAATTTGATGATTTAGAAAAATTCAGAAATGATGCCCCACACATTACACTGCCTGGTCACACGAACGACTCTAAAAAGAGCGATCATGAGACTGACTCTTCATTCGACCTTGACGAGGATGAAAATAAACCTGCCTCGGTTTTCAAGGATGCTACGGAAAAAGAAACGACAGTTAAAACTGTAGAAAAGAAGACTGAAGATAACAAGTCAAAAATGACCACTGATGTCAGTAGGAATGATAACAAAAAGGAGAAAAGCGTTCAAAAAACGAGGACGGTTTCGGAGACAATAGCAGAAATGGCTTTTTCTGAAGACATTTTAGAAGGAGAGATCAAGTCTCCCTCCCAGTTTCTTTGTGGACCAATACTTGATGGAGAAAAGGTCCTAAGAGATGCTGAAAGTAGTGAAGAAGAATCGAACTCTCGATCTGTTTACTCAGACTCTGCGATATATGACTTGATTAAAACTGAAGACGCAAAAGTTTCGCCTGAACATTGCAGTTATCTGACATCACCTTCCGACAAAACTTCGTCGTCTTTGGATGCTTTGAACATTGTCAAAGATGGGACTTATGGTTTTGTTGCGTCAACATCCATCAGAAGTAATACCATAACTACATCTGACACAGCTACTACTAATGATAGTAGTGATTATAAAGTTAGTGATAATTGTGGAACTGATGGTAGAAGTGGCAATGGTTCTTTAGTGAAGACAATTCGGTTGGATGAGCTAAAAATTTCTATGAGTGGAAAGAGCGTGACCAAAAAGAAAAACCGGAAGAAGAGCAACAAATGCGGCTCTTCGGGTACTCTTTTCAATCTGGACAGTGTGAAGCCAGAGAGTATGCGCAAGATGAAAAAAGGAAAAGCAGACCGCGTCAAAAAACGCAGGAGAGGTGAGTCATGTTTTCAAACATTTTCAAAATAATCACGTGAGTTTGTTTCAGAAAAAGTATAGTTAACTAACAAGATTATCCGAGAGTTCAGCGATCAATATCTTTCTTATATAATGGTTACAAGGCCACTCTTTGCTACAAAACGTTTTTTCAATTTGAATTTTTCCGAGAGCTGATTTTCAGTGCGGTTTCAACTCGATACTGCTTAAACATTTGGGCTGTCTTCAAATTCAACCCTCGTTCGATCCAACAAGTGGGGAGGGATTTTAGGTAAGATGATAAAAAGGGCTAGGCAGTAAGAGATACGCTAACACACATTTTTTTCCGAGATGACTTTTGGAAGCAGAAACAGATCCTACTACGCTGAAACTTTTATTATATGGCACGCACCAAAAACTGTCTTAATAATGTGCTTTAGGTGAGCACTGTGAAAAACATCAGTATATGAGTATTCCACGTAAGACACGGATTGCTACTCAAGTTTTTACCAGAGTTCTTTTCTACTTAAAAAAAAAGATGGACCTTGATACAACTACACTAGCGTGCATGGGAAAAATTAATCTATATTGAATTATGTCATAAAGAAAAATCTTAGCAGCCAATTCTAGAATTATTGTTCGACTTTCGAAGAAAACGGAATACTTAAGCTTGGATTGATTTTTATTCACTCAATTTTCGGTGCTCGAAATAATAGTTTTTAACATAATTTCTTATACCCGTTTGAAAATATTGACTCCCTGAAATCAAATGTAAAACGATATTTTACCTCCGATAATTTTTTTGTTATGAGATTTTAAAAATTTCCAATTTGGTCAAGCTCTAGGCTAATTAATGCGCGCTTTGAAGGTTTTTCCACAATGCTGAAAACGTAACACGAATAATTTATGCGTGGCGAATTATCCCGCTCTACAAAATTGATCCAAACTGAATTGAGGCTTGCTAATTGGTCGTATCAATTTCGTATGACTCAAATTTCCACAATTGATCTTTGATAAACATTTGTAATAGAAACAAGACTGCTCGTATCAGGGCGAAGCCCTGAATGTTCAGACTGCCTTGTAAGGTTTATAGAGCAGTATTAATATTAAAAAATTAAATGAAATATAACAAAATGAAAATTTTTTTTTCACAAATTTGAAATTTTTTATGAAAATCATCACCCCACACGCCATATAAAGTTCAAAAGGATAAATTTCGCTCCTTGTAACAAACCAATTATGATAATTAAGCTTCTTTCAACCAATTTGGATCGATTTCTAAGACGGATTAACTCTCCGCTTACGCGCGTGGAAATATATCGCGCGTTAATTGTCCCAAATTGGCGAAAATGGCAATTTTTAAACGCCCGTTACTTTACAAAAAATGATCACAGGTGAAATATCTCTTCAAATTTGAGACCTTTGGAATGATGTCAGAAAAATCCGTCAAAAACGGCTAGTTAAAAAGTCGAAACTTGTCTGAAGAAAAAAAACCCACCCCGAGCACAAATATTCCGTTACTTTCGTATCGAAAGTCGGAACAATAATCCGAATTTGTAACAGAAATAATTAAAACATGTTTCAATGTAAATTAACGCAGTGAAAACACTCATTTACAAGCCGAGTTATTTTTTGACATCGTTTTTTTTTTCAGGAAAAATTTTTATTCATTAAAAGTTATTCACGTCAACTTTGATTTTTTTGCGGTTTGACTTTTGATTTCTTTCTGAATTCAATTGAAAACCCTTACCTAAAATGTGCGCTAATCTCCACAAAACAAAATTAAAATCAATATTTTATTCGTATTTCTCGGTAAATACTCGTGTTTGGTCATAAATCGGAATATATCCACAATTTTTGTATAAACGGACATAATCAGTCATAAACTACTATAACTCAAACTTTTTACTTACATCATCGTATATCGGACACCACGCCAGCTTGACCTTTTCCGAAACTGCAAAAGTGCAAAAAAAAACTGCTCTTTTGTAGGTCGTAGTTTTAAATTTGAACGATTTATGTTTCACGCATTAGTTAAGTTTTGCGCTGCAACATCCTCCGCCCCTAAAGACGGAAGAACAGGTGCGAGTTTTACGGTCGGTCGTATCAGCTCGCTCGTAACAGTTTTGATATCGGCGGATCGGGCGCATCCGTCTTTGCCGTAGTGTAGTTTAGCAATACGGGCGAGTGGGTAATGCCCACGTGGGCTGTCGGGTTCGACTACCCAAACCAAGTCGCCGGTTTTCAGTGTGACATCCGAATCATTATGCCACTTTGCTATCTTGTTGAGAGATGGTACATATTCACGCAGCCAGCGTGACCAAACTGCGTTAGCGTACGATTGTGCTCTGGCGTAACGCTTTTTATAATCAAAGTTATCTTCGAAACTTAACGACGGGAAGCTAGCTGCGCTGTGACCGAGAATGAAGTGATTCGGGGTGAGTGCCTCTAGGTCGTGCGGATCGGAACTGACCGGAGTGATCGATGTTCCCAAGTAACCAGCGCAACTTCAGAACAATGTATTTCAACTGAACTACAGCACGCATGTAATCCAACCCCTGATGTGCATGTTGAAAGTGCATATGCCTAATCAACATATGAGCAACTCGGTGTCGACCATCCAGTATTATTGGATGTTTGCTATCAAAGTCGGTATCAACAAGACGGCTGATACGTCCAGTTGAACGCAGGATGCCAGCTGGGCCGATGAACGGAGAATATTTAGCAATCCGACTTTTCTTTGTTATCAGTTTATCGGACTGAAGTATTTTCACTTCGGCAGGAAATGATTCGGACTGAGCGAGATGAATGAGCTTCTGCTCGGCAATATCTAACTCGGACGGGTCGGTTATTTCAAGCGTTTTTGTACGGAAGTGTTTATGCGATGGTAGCACATGAAGCATAAACGCTAAAACACGTTTGTACTTTACAATTGAGCTGAATTTATCCCAATTTTTAAACAGACGGATCGACGGCGCTTTCTCAGATGAAGCATCAACAACAAACGTAGATGCAGTCTCAAGGCATGTATCAATGTCACAGAGTGGGCCTTTTAATTGGATCTTTTTGATGACATCAGTGTTCGGCTTGAATGGCCAATCACATGTCCTCAATATACTAGGGCCTCTAACCCAGCTGCTATCCTTGAGGGCTTCCAAAGGAATCCCTCGTGTGCCGGTATCAGCTGGGTTATCACCACTGAGTACATGATTCCATTGATCAATGGTGGCGGACTCCAAGATTTCACCAGTGCGGTTTCCAACAAACACAGAAAGTTTGTTGCACGAGTTAAGCCACTGGAGAACGGTGGTAGAATCAGTCCACATGAATACATTGCTTACTTTGAAAGTAAGCGCTTTCAAAATCTCTTCTTTGAGTCGAGTCGCAAGCAGAGCAGCCTGAAGCTCTAACTTGGGAATGGAGAGCATCTTCATAGGCGCTACACGGGCTTTCCCAAATACAAAAGCTAACTCGGTCTTTTGCGATTTAGCAAGTCGGGCTCGGAGAAACGATACGGCGCAAAAAACGTCCTGCGAACTATCACCGAACGTGTGAAGTTCACAGCGGTCGAACGGTTCGGTAAAGTAGCTACGAGGTATCGTCAGAGTACCTAATAGTGGAAGTCCTGAGTGCCAATCTAGAAATTGTTGTTTAATTTCCTCTGGGAGATCATCATCCCACTTTTGGCCACTGATTCTCCATATGTCTTTTAGTAAAAGGCGCGCTTTCACTGTATATGGAGCTACCAGTCCTATTGGATCAAAAACTGAGGAAACAAAACTCAACACGGTGCGTTGAGTAATTGCTTTATCTAGTGGTCGATCAACACCTCTACTTACTACTAGGGTATCTTTTACATGATCCCACCTGAGACCAAGAACATGCGACGATTGGTCTGGACTCTTACAAATATCCTTAACTGACGGGTTGGACTCACGGTTGTCCGGATTAAGAGCGGTTGTAACTTCGGGTACATTGCTAACAAACTTTGTCAGGTTAAACCCACCTAATTTGAGCATTGCGACTAAGTCTTTACTTAGGCTAAGAGCGTCAGCGGTATTTTCGAACGAGTCAAGATAGTCGTCCATGTAAAACTTCTGGACAACGGCTGAAGCGGCTTCGGGGTATTCAGCTTGATTATCAGAAGCAGTTTTTTGTAGCGCGAAATTCGCACAAGTTGGCGAATCACGAGCGCCAAAAATATGACGGGTGTATTGGTGAACCACCACACTTGAAGTGGGGTCCTCCCGCCACAAAAAACGGAGAGACGGTTGATCTCGCGCAAGTACTCCAACTTGTAAGAACATACCTTCTATGTCCGCTGAGACGGCGTACTTGTGTTGACGGAACCTCAACAGTACAAAAATAAGATTTTGAAGGAGATCCGGGCCAACCAAGAGAGATCTATTTAAGGAAGTGCCATGAAATTTGGATGCTCCATTGAGCACACGGCGCACCTTGCCGGGTTTGTTTGGGTTCAAAACCGGATGGTGTGGAAGATACCACTCACGTTCGGCTCGTGAGCTGGGATCGTGCGGGTTGACGGTTATGACATATCCTTTACTTATATCTTCTCTGATTGTTTCGGTATACTTCTCGCGAAGTAACGGATCTCTATCTAATCTTTTCTCTAACGACTTTAATTGGGCTAATGAAGAATAATAATTGTTAGGCAAGCTAACATCATTATCACTCCACAGCATCGGTACAGTGTAACGCTCACCATCGTGAACGGTTTCAGTTTTTAGGATCGACAAAGCACGCTTGTCTGCGGCGGAACGGGCACCTACTTGCTTGAACGCACCATACGACTCTAACTCATACCAAGTTTTGATTTGGTCGGTCAGAGAAGTATCGTCCGTGACGCAGTTAAAGGAAGAAGAATTTAAGGACGAACGATCAGGAGACGGACCACTAATGACCCAACCTATCGGAAGTCGGCCGGCGCACGGTGAGTCAAGTTCATCTCCGAAGACATGTTCGAGGGGTCTTATCGCATGATAGAAGTCCTGTCCTATAACT